AGGTCTTCAATTGTTAAAAGTTAAAACTATTACTAAATAGGTACAGACTACAGTATACAGTATACATCAGTCGCTATAGCAAGCACATATCTATTATTGAGTATTTTAACTTTTAAGGTCAACCGTTAACGACAATGCATGTATTAGCATTTGTTGATTTATCATAATATTGTGTACAGTGAGTAAAATATTAGAAATGGGAAGAGGTACGGCTATAGAACGTACCATTCTCCTTATTTCCTACTTCGGACGTTCAGCTGTATTCCGAGTGCCGACTACCTGTACGAAATATAATATGATAACTAAAAAAAGTGTGAACGGTCATCGTTGGTAATGAGAATTATTAATGTATTGAAGCGCTCCAATTTAAAATCTTTAAATATTAATAACTGACTAATACATTATGCTAATTAAAATTGTTTCGGTTAAATTTTAAATATTTACGTTTTGAACCATAGTTTAAAAAAAAAAACATATCATCCCATTTGAAAATCAAAAAAACTAACTTGGGAGTGGGGTAGGAACATAAAATTTTATGGAAAATTGTAATCACATTATATAAAAACACTATGAAAAACAACAATTAAATTACTAACTAAACGCAGTGAGATATTGAGTACCTAGCCCATAATAAAAGAATCTCCCTGTATACCAATAAAACTAATAGCTATTCGATAATTATTTATGTGCAACTATATTTTCTCTAGTTAATATATTTTTAGAGTTTAGGCGGGAGGGAGAGGTAAAAAATCACTGAAATATAAATATTATTATACCAGCCGACGCAGCATTAAGTTTTCTTTCAAATAGTGTAGTATACCAAAAATTGATTTTTTTAGACACACGTGCTTTTCTAAATAGGCTGACGATTTGTACTTTTTTCAAAGTCTTTAATCTTTATTATATATTATTGATCTTTTGCGGAAACTACTTGGCGAATTAGGGACCAAAGGCGAAAGAGAAAACTGTTTGTCAGTAATTAGGTCCTTTAGGATACGCTTTGACAGAACCCAACAATTATATGACATTACGTTTTACGCATTACCGTAACCTTAGCGATAAACTCACTTTACTGGTCGTTCACCAGATCGAATTGTTTAAGTACACAAAAACGGAAAACGCCACGATCGCATTACCTAATAACTTGCTACAGAAAATTTGCACTGCGGGATCTATTTATGTAGTTCATGCCCATTATAACACAGTGACAATACTATGAGACTTCATAAAGTTCATACTACTCGGTTATATTATATTAGCTGAGAAGGTATTGGTTTTACATTGATGTGTTGTTTTTTTTTTGGTGTGTCAGAAGGTCACAAAAGTCATAACTTTTCTCCTGTGGACAATTGTATGCGATTGGCACTTTGGTTGGTCAAAAGTAAGAAAGTTCAACCCTATCAAAATCGGTTATAAAACCCAAAATTACATAATTTTCAACTTAAGATAACGGCACCAGCCGTTGAAGCAAGTTGAATATTTTCTTTTTAGGAATTTTTTTTCTAAATCTATTTTGTACGTCCAAGTACGCTATAAAAAAAACATCATTTATACTTGGATCAGTGCGTTTGTATTAAAAACTTGTTCACTAATAAACGGAAGTACTTAATTGTATGTTTTTATGCCAATAACGCGATTGACTAGTATGCTGTGTCGACCGGAAACACAGAATATGAGCAGCTGACTTTATATTTTTTTTTTTTAAATAAAGTTGTTTTGTATATAAGAAATCTCAAAATTAATCTTATTCAAAATTATTATGCATATAGAAATAACAGCTGGTAACGTTTATTAATTAAATATGTTATACTTATTAATTTTGTATCTAGTTATATTTTTTATAAACTGTTTTCTGTTTGCCTGATAGTATATGTGTATATATTTATTGTATTTCCTTTAATTTTGTTCAAAACCAAATTTTAAATATTTCCCGATATTTAAAACCATTTTGAAAACTGACTCGGTGATTACTGCTGCGCTGCTTATCAAACATCCAGTAGATCCACCCTAAGCGTTAGTTGTAAAAACAATAGTAAAATAAAGGGAACGACTAAACATCCAAATTCTAATTTATTGGAGCTAAATACTCAATCATTAACGAAAGTAAATAAAATCAGAAATTTTAGGACAAAAAATTTATAAAATAGAGACGCAGAAACTTGCAAAAGTATAATATTAAAAATTGATAAGAAGCTATAATAAATAAACTTTTACTGTTTTTTTTTTATTTTGTCTTTAATGATTCTTTTCACAATAGCTAGCTAATACATTATTGTGTCAGTATTTACTATTTGTAAATTGATTATTATTTACCTGGATAGTTTGTAATTTGAACAAGACATAGTAATATGTTATTTGGAAGAAGTGTATAAAAAAGTAATGCCTTTGTTGATCAACCTATTATATTATGTGAAATCTGTATTATAAAATGTATTATACTTTGTAAAATAAATAAAACGTTACAATTTTTCAGTTCCATAAAACCTCAATAAGAATGTAAACCATTGAAAACGTTGTACGTTTATTACCGTTGTATTGCAATATTTTGCAAGCATGACATTAATGTGCTCTAATTTATACACCCGTTGGATGTTCATTGATAAACAAATAAACGCGTTTAATTCGATATCCGTTACATCTATATAATAGTATGTATACATTTTTTATGTGGTATAATATAATATATATGTATATTGTGTACACATTTACATAAAATAATCAGTTCACAACAGTCATAGAATAATAAACTAAACGAACGAGTCATTGTTTTTAACTATAGGAAAGCGGACGGTCCTCTTTATTTTCTTATTTTGTTTTACTCGAGTTGTGCGGCGTTTAGAATAATAATTGGTTTCATTTGTGGTTTTTCGCGGGTTATGGTTACCACGACTATTAGTATTTCTGTAGCGTAAAAAAAAATACAATCATACCAAGCAACAATAAAAACGACGTTTTCACTGCAGTTTCTTTACTTTCCCCGATTCGCAAACTATATTTTCCAACACAATATTAGTGGGAAATAAATTACAAACAACGCGATTGTATGCCTAATGTACTACTATACTCATATTATTTTACTATAATAGTAGAAATAGTAGAATGATATTAGTTTTTTTCTAGGTCTGAATGCACCAAGGTAATCTGTGATTTTACCATCTTAAGATTAAATGAGCATAGGTACTTTACAAGCACGTTCCTTGGTCCTTACAATCGTAGCTTTTGCGTTGGCACACATTCTTTATTATATTTTCTATTTACAATCACGTTTGACTTTTGGAACTTCGTCATTTACCACAATAACATTTTACTATCACTATATTGACTACATTGATCGTATAATGTTAAACGGCATCAATAACTCGCAACCGCATTGGCAATTTTTACAAGATAATTTTTCTGCGTTTTTAAACATTTTTATTGTTGAGCTTCTTTTTTTTAAATGTTGATAGTTTTCAATTGTGCGCCGCCGAGGCTGTAATATATACATTTTAACAGAATTAGTATTATCGTTATTATTATTAGTTCATATTTAACGTCAAGTGGACAATAAAAGGTAAAAGCCAACAATGGCTTGCGTTATTTAAGATGTATAGGTTAGAGTTTACACATCGTCGTAACACATAATGTTGCCGTGAAAATTAATTACCAAATTTACAAAAAAATATATATTGTATACGTTATACACATTTACATGCGTTAACGGAGATAACACAGTCAAAATAGAATTAACGACGTTAGCTTACCGGTAAATATGTCAGGTCACGCCAAAAATAATTAGTTATGTCAAGCATTATGCATTAAGCGACTTACGCAGATGTTATCACAAATGTAACCTGGTAAAATATATTTAAAACTTCCTAAAAGACTCCTAAAATCACCTAAAATACTTATCCGAAAGATCCAGAAAGACTTGTTCAACCCACTCTGGTCCAGAGTACGGAGTAGTTATAATTTTTCATAATCTCTATTAGCTACTTTATTTTTTTAAATATTAATACATATTTTAAACTTGAAATTCAATTTTTTTTAACTGTTATGACAGTGTCTTAAATAGTTATTTCCAAAATAGACCATATACATTCCTTACGTTGTATTTTATAACAAGGGGTGATTCATTAAGTGATAATACACTCATTTTCTTTTAAATAGCAGTTTTGTAGCTTTTAATTTTAGAGGCATTTTAGTCTATATTATTTTATAATATTAGAAAACATTCAAATTTGTAATAATCTCTTATATTTTTTTCCAAAGCTCCATCAACTTTTAATACCTAAATGGTAGCAGATGTGTTTAAGTAACTCTTTAGGTAATTAATTTGAATGTTACTAAAGTTTTAAAATTTAGGACGGGAGGTGGAGTGCGGTAAAGGAAAAGTGCAAAATTATTTTAAGGAAAAATGATGCAAAGTCAAACAATTCCGATTCTTTTATTGTGTCGATGACGATATCAAGTTAGGCCGGTCGACTGTTACCGCGAGCATTGCTAATTCAAATCACTTGCCCTATATTATATGCTAGTGAACGTATATTGTGTTGGGTATAGGAGACCGGTGGAGCAACTGCCTCGTATTTCCGGGTCGATAAACAAAAACAAAATGATAGGTCAAAAAAAAAAATTGGCTTATTTTTAACCATTTTCGTTGTTGGCGTTCTCTTGTACCGTTAACCCTGGACGTGAAAACCGGGCGCGGAAGGAGAACGCGCGACATAAAGGGTGACCGGTTGGCCGGGCAAAGTCAACGACCGGCCAAGATCCGGCCGCGTGCACCGGGTCAAGATCGTCCGACTGCTCGGAGAGAGTGCTAGGAGTGAGGAAAATAAAATTAAAAAAACAACATTGAATAGCCTAGTGAGAGAGTATATTGTGAGCATAAAACGTATAATATGTGTGTAAGCGTACAATAAAAAATACTATGTATGCGACAGAAACGACTGTCGGGGCGTGGGCGTTTTTGGAGGGAGGCCGACCGCGGTCGACGAAAGGTCCACCACCGGTTTCCACGGATCAGTCTTCGCTTTGGCGTTATTGTCAGTACGTTTATTTTTCCGCTGCCAAAGAATCGGCGGTAATTTATATTATTATCATACTTCGATTATCTGTGCCCATCGTCGTTGTTTACTATGACGGCAATAGTGAAGTGCGTTGCCGTTGCTGTTTTGGTGGTACAAATCGCCTTTGCTTCAGGTGAGTCCGTCATACCTATATCCGCAAAAACTAAACGAAAAACTCAAATATATCATTACCAACGTACTAGATTATTTAAATAAATTCGAAACTAAATGCATAATAATAAGTAACTATTGTTTGCGCAGGCGATAAGCTCAGACGAGGCAAAGAGTTATTGGACACCGAGGACAGCGATTTCTTCCGTTGCAAACAAGCCACCAGAAAGGTATTAAATACACCATTTAATTTTGTTTTTATTAATAATACAGATTGGTGAATTCTTTACTTGTAATCAAGTCAATCGTGTCAGAAAACACACAAAAATTAACAATATAATATTACACTAAAGTATTCGAAACCTAAATAAATAATTGTTTTTACATAATATATTCTAAATTTGTTTTCTATTATTAGGTGTAATTTGGTCAAGTCAAATTGAACTTTATTGAACAATTTTTGTTATTTTCCAACTGCCTACCTTCCTCATGGATTATTTACATTCTTTTCATTGCTTGCATTATAACAGTTTCGTTGCCAATCATTCAAATACTTGATTAAACCGTTTTCGAAATGAATGATTTTTGAATTTAATAATAAATTTGGACGTTCGGGAAAACATCATTTTAGTCCATCGTCCGATTTGTTTTCATTATAAAAATGTCAAAAATGTAAAGAATAATTAAATAGCAATCAATTTCATATTTAAGCATTGATTAAGAAAATAGTAGTTAATTTTGAAACTAACAACACAATGTAGTTTACTGCATACGTTCTAAACACATTTCCATGGTATTTTAAAAATAACAACATTACTTAGTAGTACTTAACTTTCGAGTTGCATAAATTAACAGAAAATTGTTCGTCTTTTAATCATGAAGAAATAATGTAATTATAATGTATTCATGTACAAACTCTGTCTGCAAAAGATAATTGTTTTGATAACATTTATAATAAAGATAAAGATTTATTATACAGTTTAATATTTATTTTTACACTAATTAATTTAACTATTAACAGAAACTTTAGACTAATTATTTAACTGGACAAATGCTTCATATTTATAGGAAGAATTGAATACGTTACCAAATTTAGTTTTGGAACATAAACATTTTCATTTTTTTCCTGTGTATATTTGGTAATATTTACATCCAAACTATAAAGTTTAGACTTACAGACTCAGCGTAAGATTGCTAGTCTTCCTTGAGTAGATTATACAATTTATACGCTGTTGTTTAAACAGAAACAATACTTAAATATATAGTATATACATCATTTATACACCAAAGTAATTTATTATTTACTTAATTTTACTATTATTTGTTTGAGAGGAATGTCATTAAGCATAAAAATAAATAAATTACAAATAAAACTGTATTGACTGGTTATTTAATTGTATTATTGCAATAGAAAGTGGAATTAAGAAGAAGATTCCGCCTTGATGAAAAAGACGCTTTAACAAAATATAATTTTCAAATGTTTTAGTTAATTGAATTCCAGTAATTACCACAGTAATTTCGCTTTAACTTGATCTAATCAGTGCTTACAATACTGAGTGTAAAACTTAACAATAACTATCATGTAAATAATACCAACTTCAGTAAAATAATTTTATAATTATAAATAATATTTACTTATAAACGCGTCTTTGAATACTTTAATACTACATCCGGTATGTACCGTTAGATAAAACAAATTGGAAATTACCACAAGATTGAACCCAATTAATATATGCGGTGACCTTTATTTTTATATCCCAGCTAAATTATTTATTTATTAATCATGTTTTATATTTTATTGTAAGCAACGATAACCTTACTGCAAGCCGCAGGTATTTTCATGTTGTCTTCTTATTAGTGAATTAATACAGTTTTATGACTAATTGTTATGATAATAATTATTATATACATTATTCATGGTTTGTATTTTCACAATTACATATTGACAATTGCATTAAAAACGCGATGCATTATGTATTATATTCAGTAGTAGAGCTGTTTCATTATTATTTGTTGAAAACCACTAACCCGCTTGGGAACTTTTGGCAGTAATACAATAAAGATATTCGAAAACAAAAAGACCGATTAATTATTTAAACTTAAATTAATAAAGTTTAAATTTGTATATAAACCTCAATTAATTGTTACGATAATTTTAGTCATGCTGTGGTTCAGAAAACTCATTGAAGAAATTTGGTGACAAAAATAAAAAAAAAACCGACGAGTGTTATAGTGAAGTAGCAGAAAAATTCATCCAATCAGCAAACGCAGGTACGTAAAACTATCTAAGTTGTATTAGTATATGTTTAATGCAAATCAAATTTTTAAATACTTTGCCATAATTCTAATCTAAGAATATTTTTATGACGACAATTAATTGTATAGCTAAGCTAAAAACATTAAAACAATCATAATCAAAAATTAATGAACGTGTCACGTTTTAATCACGTAGTCGTTCAAACATTCTCTTTAACTAACCGAGTTTTTGGATTAGAATAATTTTAATACGAATAACATGTCTTATCTGTTGAAAATTCGTGAAATTCTTTTGATTGCGACACAAAGGGGTAGAGAAATTTTGGAGAGAGTGGAGAATAATAAGAAACTAAGGAAAAATAAACAAAGGGAACGGTAGGAGTATAAGGAGAAGATAAGAGTAGGCTGAGGGTAATGATAGAGGATGGGTAAGTGTCATATAAAGAAATTAAAATGTTTTTTTATCCAAGTTAAGTAATAAACCTTTCTGTTATAAACAGTTATAATATACTATATAAACGCATTTCGTAATAGGAGTAATTGTATTATATTTTACCACGGATTAAAAAACAATTTTAACTCGAATATCTTATAAACCCGGTTATCGGTTCCGCCCTTAAAGAAAATCAGTCAGCAAAGTATAACAATATTATTTTTAAATGTTATAAACATAAATTTTGGCCTTGGACCGTTTAACAACATGTTAATTGCATGTATATACATTTTTTATTATGCTATATTGGTAATAAAAACGATAAGAACACCGAATGGCAGAAGGCATCGTCTAATTGCCGTTTGTGTTTTATTTTAAATCACAATTTTACTTTTCGACAAAAAAAAAGTGGATATTAAATAAATAAGTAGACACTCGGATTGAAAGAAATATTAATTTGCGCTGGTTGAAGAAAATGAAGGGTCGGTTACTGTATACATGCCAGAGCGGTAAATCGAGAGTGTCTACTTCGCCGCCTGTGTATCCTTCGTAACACGTTTATCGCATTCTTCGACCCTCCAACAATGCCCGGCCAATTTCCAGGGCAACCGAAAAATTACAATCTCCCTTACTCTACCATTCATCCCGCTACCTGTGCAATGCCGCCTACACTTTCAAAATAATTTTTTCCTTTATTTATTTCAAGGGAAAACCAATACCTAGTTACGCTTTGGGTCGTGTTCAAAAGTCTAAATGGCTCGAGGCCGTTTGAAGTATACCGTTCGACCCTTTTATCAAATTTACATAAAATATTTTCTTGGGAACATTCTAATAAAAAGCACCATTCGATCAGAACACGCGACTTGGCAGTCTTCGGTCTGTTTTCGTAGCAAGATTCTAAACCTAAACAAACATCTTTTATATTATTACCGTTAAATGTTGACGTACAAGCCATGAACGGTCAATAAAAAAAATTCGGCAACAAATACTACTTCTATATTGTTTCCTTTCTTAAAAAAAAAAAAACCGTAAGCAATAAATAAACAAAAGCAACGCCGATGTACTTTTTATGCAAAACCACTATATTGTCACGTAACTTAAAAAAAAAAAATAATAATAAATATTTAAAGTATACTTAAAAAGTTTAATTAAATTTCGAGTACAAGCCGCCAACAATTTAACAATCAAATTGAAAGTGTGTTGCCTAAAAAATCGCAGTTTCAACTACTTATTGTTTTTTTAGAGCAGACATTAATTAGGTCATTTAGAATAATATAATATCATATCAAACATATATACTAAAGAGTAAAAACACGATTTGTACATTTCTATTGTCACACCTCACAAAGATTGAATGATTTAATGTTTAATTTTTCCATTCTAACAAAATAATTAAGCAATAAAGCCTATTATTCTCAACTATAATTCACTATTGTTTTGACATGGTGAATACAATCATCGAATAATTTCAATGCTGGTTTTATACTTGACTAAACTCAATATTTTATAATTTACAATAGTTTTTTTTTTTGTTTCGGTGCGGAGCTGAGAATGTATTGTTTTTACAATGATGTGTTGTTTTTATTTTTTTTTTTTGTGTCTGGACCCACGATATCTTCTTAACCGCTGAGCAGATTTCTTCGTGTAACATCTAACCGAAATAGTACTTAAAAGGAGGTACTTAATTGAGCTAAAAATTCCTAAATTCGACCCTTCCCCCTTCAAGATCGAAAATTTACATCTTTTCAACTAAAATCTACCGCGTAGATTTTAGTCTTCTTTTTTTTAAGTATTCAAATTTGTATGGAAAATTCTTTAACCATAGTACTACCAATAAACGTTGACAAATCAGAAAAATGTAATAAACTCTGACCCCTAGGAAGGGGGAAAATTTTTACTTTATTTAAATTTTTTATATAAAATTTGATAGTTTAAGGTCTGAAAATAAAAAAAAAATTTAATTGTGGATCTAGAATGAGACTATAACTTATACATTTTTCTGCAAATTAGTATAAAAACATGTATAAAAAAACTATTAAGTTTTCTAAAATAGTAAACCTGTTTTTTACTTTTTCTGAGCATTTAAATTGTTTTATAAAATTTTAAAAACTAATCAGTTAATTTGTATCCCACGAAAATTTACCAATTATAATATTTATTGAATAAATTGAAACTTTTTCTGAAGTTCTAGTTCTTCTAAGTAAACCAATAAGATTTATAGACTTTAGAGTTACTAATAAAACGGCGGTGGTGTAGTGCACGCAGATAACAATAATAATATTTGTTTTTATTACACAAATAAAAAATACACTAATTGTAGAATTTAATGGCGTAAATATAAAAACCAATTTTAAAACCTCATTTTTCTCGGGAGGTATTATAATAAGTATCATCTTGTGGGATACCTCGTATAACTAAAAAAACAAAATACTAATAACTAATTTAACACATCTTCCAAACTGTTAAATTACAATAGGTATTAAGATATTTTTCTAATCTAAGGACAATATCTTAACTATAGGACCTAACCTAAGTTAAGACTAAGGTGACATATATAAAATATATGTGTTTACTATAAGATTGTAAGTTCTGTCAGTTTACTTATACGTTATAATGTTTAATGATTGTAGTAATAACGTTTTACAGCCAAAGAAAACTCTAAACAGGACTTGTTCTCTAGCGAAGCCGTGAAAATCACAAAAAAAAAACAATTTGTAAGTAGTAAATGCACTGCAAGTATTGAACAATCCTTTTTTTTATTATTAATTTATACCTGATTTTGTTTGTTACGTTTGCAGTGCCTTCACGAGTGTATCGGCAAGAAAAATGGCTTGGTATGTTCTTATTCCATAGAGCTCTTACTTCAATCGATCTTATTGTACTAAGAGTTTTTTTGTTTTTTAATTTATTGTTGTCTGTGATTAGCTTGTTGAAGACGGCTCTCTTAACAAAACGGCAATTACCGAGTACGCTATGAAGAGTGTTTTCAAGGAAGACTGGCAAAAACAAGTTGGACAAACCGCCCTAAACAAATGTCTCGAAGAGACCTACAGTGAGTTTATGCAATTAACACAACCACTTATTCGTTATCTGCTCAAGAAAACGAAATAAAGTACCATCGCTAAATCCCACCCAATTGACTAATCTTTACTTTAAGCTTTTAACCGCTATCTGGGGTATGACGAAGGATATATTATAAATAAACGAACACGAGTTCTGTTTCTGTGAATGTTTACTTCTTTTTCCAATACTTCTTTTGAGCATTACAGTTAAAATTGTCTGATAAATCAATTAAGAAGACAGCTCATATTACTAATAGTGTTGCAATCGTCACAATGTTTAGCGCTAGGTTTTTTTTAGGCAATGCTATGAAAGATTGTTACCGTAGTTAGTGCAACACATTAGTGTTGCATGTTATAATTAACATTAAACATTGTCATTCTTCTACTAACGAGTAAAATTATGATAATTTTGAAAATTTATTCCAAATACCATTGAGTTTCTTTTAGCTATAGAGTATATAGAATTTAACTTTCACCGTCAACTTACTGATGGCCATAATCTAAAAAAAGAAAATAACTCCAATAAAATTAACTATTAACGTTCCGGTACTATAAAACAAACGCTATTTTATTATTAATAAAAAAAATAAACATTATGGTTTTAGGTTAGTGGTTACTCAATTTATATCAAATTAATACCGATTTTATAGTTCAACATAATGTTTTACACTTCAATTCCATTTTACCATTTCTCCGTGTCAAATGCCATTGGAATCCTCCGCTCTGCAAACATTCATTATAAAATTTAATAATTAATTATCACTGAATTTTTTATGGTCTTTGTAACTTTTAGGTAAAGAGTAAACGTTTTTAAAATTACATCAAACAATGTTTGAAACATTCATTTAAGATTAGCCAGTTATAACTTATATTTCTTTTGCATTCGCATTAGACGCCAAAAATTGTACTATTACTAAAACCATATATACCCAAAAACAATATATACTCAATGCTAAAACGTACGTGGATCGTATTATTAAATTTAAAAAAGGCCAATTGAATTTCGGAAGCTCATGAACTTAACATTGTATTAACTTGCTACATAACATTTTCCTTTTTTTTTTTTTTATCAATTTTTCAATTTGAACGCCAGAGAAGAACAAAATATATTATACAAAGTGAACCACCCTCCCTTCCTATTTCAAAGTTTTTTTTTTTTGGTGGCAGTAATTTTTGAGACATTGCAAAACTTCAGTTATATTTGTCTTTTTCAGTCCCGTGGCCGGAAACAGAGACGGAAAACAAATGCAATCCCGTTTATGTACAGTTCCAACACTGTTTGTGGTTGGAATATGAAACGGTAAGTCAACATACAACAAGTCACTTGAAGTATAGTAACTATTAGAGTGTATTTACCCGGCAACCCAAGTACAAGTTATAACGTAGTATGAACATCATACTAAATCCGTGTTTTTCTGTGTTTATCAACACATCGAAACGTTAATGTCATTTTGCGTTTCGATAATTACAACGAAGAAGTATTACAATACACCGGTAACTGGCGAACAATAGAAAATTCTCATCAAGAACATGACCAATTTTTCTATTTAATTATATATTTTTGTCTCAATGCCGTGCTAATTATGTTAATTAGCAAAATTCATCAAAATACATTGTCAGCTCACTTATTTTAAAAACACAAACATTTCCCGCCCATCTTTGCAAAACATAGCATTGTATCACAAAGCACAACAGGTAAAACTCTTCATAACCTGAAATTTCTAAACTGCGAGTGATAATGTGTTTAAAATCGTGTTAAATCTAATAAATAAAAATGTGTTTACTGTTTATTAACATTATAGCACAAATCAGTCTCAACAAAGTTAGTTGAACACAAAGTTTAGTTTATACAGTAGCAAAACCTGAGGAAAGTACTAGGAATATTAGACTCATTTGAAAACAATTACAATTTTCATCTTTTTTGGTATATTCTAGAGTTCTATCAACTTTTGATATTTAAATGGTACCTAACTTATATATCTTATTAACTTTTGAAATTATAAAAAAAAAATAATAAAAATGTTGACTGGTCGATAACCATTTTTGGATAACTACTTTCTAAGTTATTGAAGCTTAAAGTTTAAGAAGAGAGAAGGGTGGAGTGTAATATTTTTTTATTTAATGCGCATTATTCAACTACACTTCACCTCTCAGTATGTACTCCGGTTATTGTTTTTAAGTTTGATAATTTATTTTGGTTTTATTGTTTAAATAACTCAAGTATTACATATTATTATTTTTTTATTTTTTACTCTATTATAACTTTTAAGTTTTAAAATTTAAAGCTAATAACTTTTGCCCAAGGGTATTCAAACTTTTAACATCTCATTTTATCCTTTCTGTCTCGATATAGTCGAAATCAATGGATTTGTGAATCGATTTCTATAAAACCTGTGTAGACAAATCATAATTAATCTACAATAAATATATACTCTCGCTTTCTTGCAAAAACTGCGAATATTTTTTTATAGGTACCCATGAATATTTATGAGTACACCGACTAGTTCTCATTAGATTACCTCTCAAAATTTTAATTTTTTAACTTTTTAATTATAATTGCTTTACACGCAATCACGCGTTTAATGATTAGACGTTTTTCAAACAATACCCAATAAAATATGCCGTTGCATTAATAACCAAACATTGAGCGGGCTATGTAAAACTGGGTGTTCCCGATTGCTTAAGAGCTTACTGAAACTTGTTAACATCCCAACAAAATATACGCCTTGGTAGCTCAGAAGTTTTGCGGTTCTCTAAAGTTTTGTTGGAATACGTAGGCGAACACGATAACAGCCTACGGAGAGTTACATTTTGACAACTAAATTATGTGTGCACACATCCTGTTGCCCCGAAACTCATCCTTTTTTGTTTTTTTATTACCACTCTCGTTAGGAATACATACATGTTCAAAAGTTGCCGGTCTGTATTGTCGCAAACGTTCCGTGATACTGTCGACTATCCATTTTTCCCCTCCATAGAACACGTGTTAATGTGCTAGAATTCGGCTATCTAGTAAGTAGACCTAACCCTGATAAAAAGTTTAATGACGCTTTAAGCCTCTTCATTATCAGTCAAGTTATGAACAAGACCTTATTTACTACGGATCCCGGTGATTCTAGGATAGGGGCCCTAAATGCTAGGTGTGTGGGACTCTCATCTCTCTATATTAAGGTTTTCAAGTGAAAATATAAGGTGCCCTATTATTTCTTATTTCTTTACTATATTTTTAGCTTCGATTCCTGAACTAAGAAATTATCTTTTCCTATAATGTGTTCTTATTTCTATTTATGTGACTGGACTGATGATATATTATCTCCTAAGCAACTTAATCAATTTCATCGTGTAGTATGTCTATTAATAAAACGTGTATCTAAAAAGATACAATAATTTATTGTGCCAAAAATTAAAAAAGTATAACCCTTCCGTTTCAAAACCTTATTGTCACCTAAACATGCACAAATTATTTACCTTAAAATTACGACAAGCTAGATATAACTTATTAAAAAAAAACTTATATGGGATTTTTTTTTTTGTTATAGTACTATCGATACACATTAACAAACCAAACAAATATCATAAACTCTATTAGTTTGGGTACTTTTTCTTTAATAATTATAACAAGCGAGTTACGACTACTATATACTTGTCCCGCCTGTTTTGATTCATATATTTTAGATATTTTCTTCTAAAGAGTAATTATTTAATAATCCTTGAAAAACCAATGCGCTATTTTCATAAAGGTCTGATTGTTGAGACTAATATTACATAGTAATACTGTACACTCGTTTACAGTTATCAATTTATAAATTGTATTGTAGAATTTATACATTTATTTTTGTAAGCGTCATCTAAAGAGCTGTTCTATTAACCGTCGAATTTGGAGACATCATTTCATTTGGCATTATTCGTGTTAAATTGATTCTGTTATAATGATTCTACCACATATAGATGGCTTGGGAAAATGTAGCCCTGAAAAATTTAAAGACGTTATGTTAATTACAATTCATTATCTCGTAGTTCCGTCAAGCTAATGTGTAACAAACTGTGTTTAGAATTTATTTTTGTTATCCGTTAATTGTTTAGTTATATAATATTAACTATGTTTGCATTTGATAAAATAGTACTAAACAAACTGTAACGAACGAATTATTTTCACCCGCATTTTAAAAATTCATTATCGACTTAAAACCACTTTAAAAGTTTTTACGGTACACAAATAATAACAAAATATCTACCACGTCTCTCTGTGTATTCGCTTCCTTGATATTTGAACAAAATAAAAGCCCATTTTATTTCTATTCCAGCGGCACAAAATCACATTTTAATGTGCCTAATATTTTATGAAGTATCCGCGCTGTATCAAACTTTCTTACGTCCACGTTTGACACAGAACTATTTTTTTGAGACAGAAATATTTTAATATTAAAATCCATTTTGAACGAGGAAATGTCGCAAAAACTGTACTGTATTACATTTTCAGCGATTAAAACCATATTATTCCATAATCTATACTATTTAAAAATACATTAAATTTAATCTCTAATTTTTATTTTTTCAGACTTGCCCCGAGGATAAACGCAAGCGTTGTGAGTAAATCTTGTACTTAAGGGAATTGCATGCTGTCTGTTTTTAAGGAGTTTTGTATGAAAAATATTTAAAAAAGTGGTTTTAATAAACTTCAACCACTAAATAACATTGTAAAGTAGTCAAAGGACTCAAATCTGTATAAAGAATTTTAATCGGACCGCCCTCAGTAACCGAAATTTTGTTAGGCTTTTTGGTCTAAAACAAAAGCAGCCACATGCAATACCCTTTTGTGTTTTTTTTATTAAATATTTATATAACAAATATGTTAAACGCGTTTTCAGCTAAGAAATGCGAAAAGACTAGAAAGCGGTACCGAATGAATAAATCAGTGTCCGGCCAAGTTACTAAACACTGATATAGTTGATCGTTTAATGTAAGTTATTTGCCAACGTATTTTTTGAACATCAACAAATGCAGTCGTCGAAGTGCACACAATTGACCTACCTACCTATAATTCCTCCATCATTAAACACTACATGACGATGCGTCGCCAGAGAATGTATTTATTCTTTTATGTTTTTAGTTATATTTTTATACATAAGTATTTATATCTATAAAAGTAATTAAAAATTAATCTGTAAGATTATAATTAAATATGCATTCACTAAGAGAAAGATACTATTCATTCTTAGTTCTCTACAAAATACCACCGATTGCCCCTATAATATTTTTTTTTAGTTTATATGATAACAACAACATTATATCATTATGAACAAACTGCACATCTATTATTATTATGATTATTATAAATGGCTACGTCATTTCAATTCAAATTATCCAAACGCCTAGATAGCCCAATCCGCGTGACAAGTACAATAAAATTAAGGTTATATTTTCATTTTGTTCTTATATTATATTCTCATTTAATTTTTTTGTTAGAACTTAATTATTATTATAACTATTACTTTCACTTTTTTTGTTGTGTGCTAGAAGCTTATTAGTGTATTATACATAAATATAATTTATTTTATATATACATACATATATATTATATTGTTCTATGATTATATTATTATGTCAATACGATCCTGCGTATATACGCGATCCTTTAAAAACGATTAGAAAACAAAAATAAAAAACAATTATAATACTTTTAAGGAGTTTATGTATATACTACAGTTGTTTAACTAACGACGACTTAGCGCAATGCATTTTTGAAAAGGTCTAAAGATTTTTTTTTTTTAGAACTAGTCACTATTTGTATTATTATTTGGTTGTTTTAAGTACATCCAATAATAAATATTAATTCCGCCTTTGTCGGTTTAATGACCTAGTCATAAATACTATAACAAGTACACGATACCTACACAGCTTTTTATTATATCACTTTCGGTTAAATTATAAAATTATAAACCATTTTCCCTAACGACTCTTCTATTTATATTTAATTTTAATTTTTTACGCCCTCAAAATAAACTGATATTTAACAGAATAGGCTAAACTAAGCGAGAATAATAATTTATTATAACTTTTGATTTGCTGAATTTAATTTGCTCTTAATTTCTTGACTTTAGGCTTTCTGTTGACAAACAAAAAAAAATACCTAAATTTCCTAATAGGATTTAATATTACTTGAGTAGACAACCAAATACACATAGCCATTCCCTATAAGAGTTCTGGATGTGTGTGTGAGTGTTATATTTTTTATTACTGGCCATAAAAAGTTACCACTATAGAATCTAAAGCTGGATATGAGTGGTGTGACATAGCTAGGTATTAGCGACAAACCCGTTTTCTTGGGCTACGTTGTTACTAGGTCAGGTGTAAGTGTTAACGCGTGTACTTACCCGTTATCGACACAGTATAAGTAATAAAAACTGGCGGTTGTAAAAAAAAAAATCCGTTTAGTATTTTGACGCTACACGAGGAGTTACCAAAAAAATTATTACTTGGTTTTAAAACTGATGTTTTATAGGTAGGTCACAGATTCAGAGTGGGTTGTGGAGATCAGTGTCTATATAGCAGTTAGTCTATCTGCCAGGTCAGAAATGATCTGCCTATTAAAAAAGCGAGTGTCTGGTGCTTCTTGCTTTAACATTAGAGTAGGTACAATTGTTTTAATTTTAAATTGAAAAGAATAGTCTGGAAGTTAGACGGTTAAATATCAAGTGTCCGGTGTTGCTTACTTTATGGGTTGAAAACGGATAAAAATGTCTAGAGGTCAGTCGGCCAAGTGTACCTATGTGAAACAAAATTTGTTGAAATGTAGTATATTATTTGTCTAGTTATTGGTTAATTAAAATCCTATTTGTTCAAAAATCACCGGCAATGCCAGTATTCGGTGATGACGTACCGTACGTTTAGAATTTAACCATCAGAGGTACACGTGGCGTGGAATATTAAAGGTGGATACTTAAGGCCTGACGTCTGTTGGTTATTAGAAGTTTAAAAGTGTGAAACAATGATATGTTTGTGTCTTGTGACGGTTACTTAGGAACTCAAGAGTACAAAACATGAATGAAATGTCTAGAAGTCAATCAGTATATATTAAATAGGGGAAAAATATGAAGAGTGATAAGTAAGTAAAAATAATTTATAGTAAATATTTTTGATTATTCGAGTGTCCGACAGTGCTTGTAAAAACGTTCAAAACGCACAGAATGATAAACGGTTAAATAAAATGTCTTTTAAGTTTTGAGATATGGACAACTATATAATAATAATAATATTTAGTGCATCAAATACCTATATTATTTTATTGTTGTATAAACGTATAACTTACTTATCCACAACTTCCCATAGTTTCATGGCGATCGGACGGTGTACTAATGCGTAAAGGACAGACATACAAACAGACAAACATTAATTTTTTTATATATATATTTATATAAATTATTGATATGCATTCATATATTTTTAAGTAAACCATGAAAGGTATAAATCCATATATTGATATTTTTTTAGATGGCTAACCAAAAATTCATCCTACTAAATGATAACAATTAAAAATTGTTAAATAATTTTATTTTTCATTATTCAATTGAGTAGTATCAATTTAAAAAAAATATAACACAATCTATAGTTTTAACTTTTTTAGGGTGGAGCGAATACTTATAATATACTTCTATGTTGAATTTCAATATAAATTTTATATTATTTTTTATATAGTTCCGCATCGTAGCAAAAATTATTCGAATAAAACAATTATTTACAGAGTATAGATAATTGTATTCGAATAATTTTTTTATCTAGATAACGATTTTTCTCAACACTGCTAAAAATGTATTATTTTTACAATAATTTGTTTTTTGTGGACAGTGGACACATTTTAACTCTATTGATAAGAAGTACTTAATTGTGTTGAAAACTCACTTGTTTCCCTACAAAATCAAAGAAAAACAACCAAAATATGAACATATTTTTCAACTTAAAATTACGGCTTTGTTATAACATTTTTATAAGAAGTCGAATTGTAGGAAATTATATTAAATTTTATACAGACAGAGTATGATCTATATAATATGTTCACAAACCGAAAAATATCATATTTGTTTATACAAATGTTGTCGAATAAAATTGGAAAATAAAATTATTTACTTACGCTTTTTTACAATTTAACACAATGAAAACTTCAACTACCGTATAACGAGTGAAATAGGTTAGTATTAGCATTGAGTATATATTGTACAATATATATTCAATGGTATTAGTTCCACCATATTATAAGAAAAACTTGTATTTTACTATAGTATAATTCAAAATATAAAAAATAACAATGGTTGCCAATATTTGTGCATTTTTTTATGTAGTTTTGCTATAACGTCAAATATAAAATCTATCGAATCACCAAGTAACTGCCAGGTAAGCATTTATTTTGAACTATAATTTTTCTGTGAAATAATTTATAATTTATTACGGTTGATAGCAGTTGTGCACTATAAAAATTGTTCCTTACGTCAAAATGTTTTATAATAATGAAAAAAAACTTTTACAAAATTCATAAAAATACTATGTTATTGTGTTACAACTAAGATTATTATTATATGTACAAATGAGATGTTTCTATTAATTTGTAGTCATAATAATACATTTTCAGACAATTTAATAAAAATAAACCATATTTAACAGCGGCATCATACTGAAATTAAGTTTATTTTATTTTGAAGCAAAATAATCATTGAATAAATCATAGATTAATTCGAGGCTGACCAATGATACATTTTTTTTATGTAGTTTAAGAACAAGTATTATAAGTTCCTCGACGAAAAATCCATTTTTGTTTATTTTTAGAGTTACTTTTTTATAATTACATAAATATATATTTTTTTTTAGATTACGCCTATACAAACACAATGTACGTACCGTAAATAATTTGAAAACATTCAACAGACATCCTCCAATTAATATCGAACCCGCGGACGTGAAATTCTGACAACACCTGCTTGTGGCAATTATAAAGAATACCAATTAAAATTTAAAAGCCGGGATAAATTAGAGAAAAAGGTTTAGGACATCAAATGAAGTTTTTGTGAACTGCAAAATCACACATACTGTACTTAAATGATTTAATTGAAAATGTGAAAAGCGGAGAACCTTTCATTCATAACAAAGAAACTGTAAAACGTCTTGAAGAGGAAGTCAAAATTATACTTCAAATATGAATGCCGAAAATACCAGCAAGATACCAGAAAATGGCGTTTGATATATTTTTTGAAAGTCGTTGCCATCAGTCAATAAGGTGAGAATAAACCTTTTATCCAAAAAACCCCATTATAAGACCACCAACTGCAAAACGGTGTTTAATATTTCATCATTTGTTTTGAATTTAACTATGTTCAAAGATGGATTTCTTGTGGTTATAATATCAAAACCCCAGTTAGCAAAAATAAGCGAAATCAATGAAATAAAAGACATTTTAGCAAGAGTGGAGGACAAAGGCCAATGAGATCCTAAACGATGCATAGAAAAAAAAACTGGTTGACTCAGTATCTACCAACAGTTTAATAATAAGTGTCAATAAATAACTACAGAGACTATTTAAACGTATTAAAAGGCTTCTGTTTCCCGTTCGAATATAGAGTGCATTTGCATTTTATGGATGTAGTTAAATTTTCGGCTGCTCAATATATTTTAATTTTAAATTAATAATACAATATTCATAAAGTAAGTTAAAATAAAATAAAAAATATCAAAAAAACTATATCCAGTTAACATATAAAGCCATTTGTCATTCTTTTGATGACAGTAATATTTTAAGTATAATTTTGGCTTCCTCTTCAAGGCATTTTATAGTTTCCTTGCTATGAATATATGGCTCTTTGCTATTTAATTTTTCAATTAAGTTTTCTAAGTACAGTATGTTTGATTTTGCAGTTACACAAAAATTTAATTTTATGTCCTGATCTTTTTTCTCTAATTTATTCTGGAGTTTTAATTTGAATTAGTATTTTTTAATATTGCCATAAGTAGGTGTTGTCAGAATTTTCACGTCTGCGAGGTTAATATTAATTGGATGTTTGTTGAATGTTTTCAATTTTTTTACGTACATAAAGTGTTCTTTAGATGTTTCAATGAAAAATCGTGTATGAGTAATCTAAATATATATAAATATTTATATAATTATGAAAAAGTAGGTAACTCTAAAAAAAACCAAATTGGATTTCTCGTTTGCTAACTGATAATCATTGTTATTACCTAAACCATTTAAAAACAAAAATGTAACTTTGTCAACATAGTTTATAAATTGTGTTAATTATAATGATTAAATATATCAAGTCAGAAATAAAGATGGTATAACTATTTTAAAAAGACTGTCAGAAAGTGAAAACAACCGAGAGCCTCGATGAAGATGTAGTATACAAGTCGAAATATAATGTACACTTATATTGTACAAATATAAAAAAAATATATTTTATACTTGACGTAAAAAATAATAAGATTACTCGACTTGTACAAATTTGAAAAAAACCAACTGTTATTTTATTGCTTACCTTTTTTAAAATCCATACCACATTATCTGATTTTAATATACTAGTAGTACCTATAAAATTGTATAACATTCCAAAGTCATAATAAAAAAAAAAATTAATTTTGACTCTTGTCATTACAATGATTTATTAATGGTTTTTTTCAATTTATCAAGCTAACTTCTAAATAAAGGCATATGTTACTGAATCATAAAAAACGTTATTCTAATTCTAGCTACATGTGTATAGTTTAATAATTTTTTATAATTTTACTTTGTCACGGTATAACATATTGGCATTTATAAAGCATAATAAATAAACGAACCTTCACCGACAAACCTACCTGTAATTATTGTACTTACTTAATAACTAAAATGTTAGATACCCATTTGTGTATCCTGGTATAAACTATAGGTATAAAGTTAACTACAGTCATGGGCTCCAACATCATCACACAGACTATAACATTACTATTATTAATTAAAGTGACTAGTGTAATAGGAGCTTATTTTACTAAAAGTGATGTATTTTTATTATCTACCAATAATTGGGTTTAGTTTGAATTTCATCAGCTCTACGTAAACTTTTATTTTTAATATTGACCTTTATACCAAATTCGATAAAATTATATTTCAAATTCAAATGTTTTTACATAGCTTTACTTGTTGTACTATTTAAAAATCTAATTGAAATTTATACATTTTTTTCCTAATTAATAATTAACTTATAAGTTACAGAAACATAAACAGTTTTTGTTGGGTATTTTTAAAAACACACAATACAATATTTTACTAATTCAACAGGAATTGAAAAATAATTAAAGTTATGAAATCGGATATGGTATAATTTTAAAAAGCCTCGTCAGGAATTGAAATCTATTATACAATCTCAAAGTCGGCGAATGGATGAAACTCGTTTCGGGGGAGTTGAAATTGAAAATTCCCAGAGACAGAGGCTTCTCAGTCTAAGTACAACCTAAGTTGTAATACATAAGCAGAAAAATATTTTACATGTGTATTGTTCAAATAATAACATGTTTTTATATTAAACTAAACAAATATGAAGATTACATATGTACGAATTTATCGGTTTGAAAAAAACAAAAAGCACCAGATATTATGTTACCAGTACACATTTTATGAAGGCGATACCAAATTATCTGGTGTAATATAATATGCAAATGCTTTTTGGTGTACAAATAATAATAATATAAGACTACCGGTATACAGTTAAAAAACAAAAATAAATGAACCAACACAGTTTAACCCAGCTAGCCTAAACCAAGCACAGTTCAAACCACGTACAAGTCTAAATCAGTGTATGAATTATTCTGGTAGAATACTCTGTGTTTGCAGTAGATTGAATAAAATGCAAAGCAAAATCCATCATAACTTTCAACATTTTGTAAAATCCCCAAATGTTTATCGAATTTGACCAACAATTGTTATTAACAAAAGATTTTCGGAAGATTAGGAAAAAAACGGATTGCGTTTTCGGAATTCTCAACCCCAAAGACATTAAAAAAAAATCCATAACTTTCCTGTGACCTTTGAGTGTATACGAAAAGGAAGTATTGCGACTTCAAAGTAATCATTCAAACGCTGCTGGGCGAGTTATTTGCGCGTTATGGCTCCTCGTGTATGCGACAACGGTCCTTAATTCATATCGAACGAAATACTCAAAGCATTCAAGCGATGAGGGGCAGTGGGTTGGACGACCCCAGGTTACCAGTTCACTTATTTTACTGAAGAAAGGACTCTGTACATTTTTAGTGCAACTAACCTAACCGTTCTTGGAATACGAAATTATAGTCGGTACTTTTCGCGATTCAAAACAAAACGAGTGAAGTGACAGGTTAGTTCAAGATCAGTTTTAATCCTTGGTAAAGAAGGAAAAAGTCCGCGCGATCGGGCTCTAAATCTTCAATCGTAAATACATTTACTAATCACGCATGTATCACCGATATGCAGAAAATGTGAAGAAGAGAATGAAACAACGCAGCGTATCTTGTGTAACTACCTTTGGAAAACCTTTTCTTGGAAAAGATAAAATCTTTAATTAGTTTTAATTATACACTTTTTGGATTTTTTTCATTGTAGCTAACATTTTTTAGTTGACATAGTATTAAAGGTTCTTTAAATTATAAATATACACATAAAATCGCACACTGTTTCGACAAATAGATACATAGATTTAATTGTCTATGTAAAATTAGCAAAACAGATACGCTAGCCAGCTTAACCCATGTGGTAAGCGTATGACACACTAAATTACTAACTCGATATCGACGTTGAATATAATACAAATAATCTAAAGAAACTATACTAAAAAATCTAGCTTATACAAAATTAGAATACAAATAATACAAAACTGTAGACATGACTTTGATTCTAATTAATAAAACACTATGTATCATTCGTATGTCTCCGCCTCATCTTGAAACAAAATATCAGAACTGGATGTCATTTTTTTTTGAGAGGGACTGTAGAACAAACATTGACTTTTCGGTTGGTACCTCTCTGCGATTTGCATTACCGAGTCAGGAAAATTTTCAGTTATTTTTCTAATTAGTATGTAGTATGTTAGTATGGTTCACTTGCATGCATTAAAAATATGTTAAACGACAATAAAATACTTACTGTATAAGGTCTTCGGGATAACAACTATTGATTGCCTGTACGATTCTGTACAATTCCGAATCAGGAGTAGGCTTATATTGCTGGATTATTTTAAGATATCCGTCTAAAATAAAGTTACGTCTCACCTTCGTACTCTGTGGTAAAATCTAACAATAGAAAAATACAACCTTCAAAATTAATACCGTTGAAATTAGAACAATCATCAATCATATAATATTATGTATGCCATAATACACACTTAAAAACTTCTTTGAAATTGATATAAAAAATAAAAAAAATAATAATAATATTACACGATTAATTGAATAATACTTCTAAAAATTTATCCAAGACATAAGTAACAATTCCTAAAGGAGTTGAGGCCGTTAACAAGTTATTTAACGTAACCAAATCGTCGCAATTGCTTATCAATAATTTTAAGGTGTTTTCGCACTTCAACCGAATTTCATGTCCAAATTTTGTACATTGTAGTATCTATAAGAGAATATTATTAATCGTACCAATGTACTCTTATGCCTACACAATTTATATATTCTCTTTACTTTTATCATGGTGCAAACCGCGTTGCCCGCACACACTGCTCTTGAATGTTCTGAACTGTGTTTGCCTATCAGACCTAATGTCCAAATAGTTCCGGCTTTGATGAATTCGTCATCACTGTTTTCTAAAATCGATTCGAGGAGAAACAACGCCTGTAAGGGTTATTTTGGAACGACAATAAAAACCATTGTATTATTACTATTTTGCTAAACTATCGTCTTACACCTGACTGAATGATGACAGAAGCGAAATAAGGTGACATGGCAGCAATACAACCAATAGCGGTTAAAGCCGGAAGTGGAGAGCTTTCTTTACTAAGCTTAATGACGTTCATCAAGGCAGATATTCCGCCGGCGTTTACAACTAATTGAGAAATCTAATTAACACAAGGAATACAATTTGTTTTCAATAACATCTTCGTTAAATTAGCAAACCAACGACAAATTTAGAAATGGATATGGCCCTTGTATTCATTGTTTGTAAAAATAACAAGTCCAGCCAAAGAAATATTCGAACATTACATTTTTTTAAATTCAAATTAAACAAACAAACTCTTACTTGAACACTGTGCTTAACCATTTCGCTGATGACATTGACAGCTTGAACGCGAATTGGTTCATCCAGACTTTCCATCAAGAGTAACACCGTAGGAAATATGTCAGCCTCGATTGCGTTCTCTGCTAAACTCAAAGAGTGCTTAACAATATTCCCTATGAGAGCCAGCGCTTCTCTCTGTGGTTTTAGATGTCGTGAATATTTTCCATTGGTATAAACATATTGAACATTACCTGAACTTTAGGATTTGTGTGCGTTGGTGACAACAGACCAACAACGTATGGCAGAGTAGACGCGGTCACGACTGTTTGGGCTAATTCTTTGTCGTTTTTGACAATCCGGTCCAAGGCAACCAACGCGACGACTTTCAAGACAATCGGTTTATCTTTCAAGCACAATACAATTTTCGGCAGCACACCTGTAATAGTGTACGACATAACATTTTTTTCCGACTTTAAATCGTACCAGCCAGAACGGTTTATAGTGCTGTGGAAGAATACCTGCGTCGATTAATACTTTCGAAAGGTCGGGCCCATGTCGGGCAACCGAAGCTATAGTTTGCAAAGCAACCTCTCTGACCAGCACATCGGGGTCATCCATACAAACTAAGATGACGTCCAATCCTCCCAGCGACATTGTTATCGTTTGAGCGGTATCCGCACTGTATCTACAAACGTTCCGGATCAGATCCATGCAATTTTTTTTATAATACTTCTATAAACGAACCGACAGAGGAATGATGGTATGACCATTCGACTTTTATACGACTTGACCACTTACGTTTTCATTAGCGACGGACTCGAACATGCGGTTAACCATGCCGACAGAGCGCAATATTTCATTAGCACACGGCTCGCTGTGCCCCACCATCCGGGATAAAAACAGCAACACATTCGTTTTGACTGTCGGGTTTGGGCTATCCACTAACGGTTTTGCCATCTCGATAACATCATATCTCAGTAGGCATTCAACGTACGCTGGTTTAGCCGCCAGTTCGGCAATACTCTGCACAAAAGCCAATTTGCTTTTGTAGAAATGTTCAACAACTTTTGCATTGAAAAATAATAACCCGGTTAGAAACGTTTTATCATCCATCTTAATGACACTAGTCTTACCTTGAGCGATATCTTTAGGAGACGAATACATCATGTCTTTGAGAAAATATACCGAGGATATTAAGAATAATAACTTCTTTTTATCATATTGTTACTGTAGAAAAAAACGGTTTTTTTTGTAAGCCAAGCATATAAATCTATGTGATATTTAACATCACCGTCGTAAAAATGAAAACGATTTTTTCATAACGTTTTTATGAACTCATTTTTAATGTATTTATTATTAAATATTAATTTAAATTTCTTATTTTAATAATTGAACTATGTTAATATTTATATAAAAAAACACATTAAAGTACATATTGAGTTGAGTTCACAGCACAGTTCACAACGAAAACAAGTAGTACAGCATACCATAAATTAAAATTATTATTATAATTTATGTATCATGTTAGTTTTTAGTATTGTATTTATTTTACTTTGACCCGACCAAGTTCACTAGTTGTTGAAAATGTGAATGGTTCAGTCTATAGAATTATTGAAATTTATCTGGATGCTGATATAACTCTTTCGTAACACTGTGGTGTTTTAAATTAGTTTGACTCAAAGGATTTTTTTAAATATTCTTTTGTTGATTTAATCACCACATAACAATAATGTTATCTTACGACGAAATCTCTAGACTCACTGAAATTAACTGTACGAACTGGAAGTGTTGTGAAAATATTTATGAAATAAATTTGTTTTGTGTGTACTGAATATGAAATATGTTCCGTTTGATTAATTGTATGAAACTAATTTCCCCTGTGTGGCACTCGCCTAAAATACTTAAACCCGTTTGTGTAGTCACAGGAATGTAAGAATATTATAACTGAAAATGATGAAATCACAAAAATTACAAATAAAACGCTTCATTACGATTCTGTAGATGGTACAAGTATTTAATATCGATGAAAATAGAAATTAAGACACACCATTGTAAAAACAATACCTTCTCAGCCGCACACCGATACTAAGATCAATTTGATATTGAAAAGCAACATATTTTTCGGGGCTGACGATAATTATTGCTTTAGCCGTATACACAGTGAATCTTTTTTATTTCCGAAAGTTATATCAAAAAGATAATATAGGATTTAAGAAAATTGACAACGATCCGCCTGAGAGGCGTATACGATTTATTTGTAACATTCGAACTTATCCGAACCTTGAGGGTCCATTCATCACGGTCCGAAAGCTCACTCGCGCGCACACACTGACAACACAATTTTGTAGATAAAACCATCGGCGGCCGGTTGTCCCTTGCAATAGACCGTGTTCACAGGGGTAATGCAAGGAGCCGGCGGGTATAAAAAGGGATGAACGACGGGGTCCAGCCTCCAGGGAGGGGAGGTAGCGTTTCGTGGAAAAATGCAATCCCCCCAGGCAAAGCGCGTTGGCGAATTTCAATTTGATAAACGGTCCGGAATATCTCCTCCGATCGATTACCGCACTCTATATATAAATTATCTATATATATATATATATACCTGTTAATTTACTGTTGGCCACTGCCACCTAACCAAAATCCGCGGCGCAATAAAAATATATACTAAGTGTATTCAACCGTAATTACAATGCGCTAAAGAAACGGGGGAAAAAAACCACCGACCAAAGCGACAGACTAGAGGCGAAATTGGAATCGCACGCAAGGGAATGGAAGATTGGCTGACTTTTTTTTTACCTCCTCGTATTAATTATAAACCAGAGTTATTTATTACTCCCGGGGCACGCGACCCAAATACCCGAGGTGTTTCTGTGACCGTCAAAAAAAAAGCTCTACGACCATTCACAAAATAACAACTAACGGGTATCACAACCGTTTTACTTACACTATTGTTAGCGTTACTCATCCAGTGACACCGCAGTAGCGCATAGCTGGGTAAAAAATAAAAGAGCTCAGCCCTCGCGTACCAGTATATGGTATGGATACCAGTAATTTATATACAATATCAATATACTTAATACTTATAACTATATACATCCCATTCGACCAGTTTAAATTACACGCTTTCATTGGCCATCTATAAAAGTTTAATTAATTATATGAGATGTCAGTAGAATGGTAAAGTTGTGTAGATTACACATTTTTCTTTCAAAAAATAAATTGGTTAAATAGTTTCTCATCAATCTACAAGCAAGAATATACAGATATTTTCAAATCCCCAGAATGTTTCTTTTAGTCAAAAGTATTAAATTTGATCACTGATTATTACGATGGCGTCATCGCTGAAGAAGTGGAACAGGGAGTTAAGAAAAGTGGCAGTGCCTACCACTACTAAAACTTCTACTCATACAGCTGGTCTACTGCTCTAAAAAGACTAAAAAAAATTGTATGGGAGTGGGGCCACGATACCATTCACATGGACCGTTTCACGTCGTTAGTTATTCAATTAATTAAATTTAAGATCTATAACCGTGTTAAAATTTCCAAATATAATCAAACTACATAAATGATCCTGGCGAAGATGAACGAGTAACGTAAACTGTTATGGTAATTATTGCTATTCTGTTATGGGCAATAATATTAGCAAAAGTTCCCTACGTGGCGAGATAAGAATGGTTATTACGATGTACGTGTAAACTCTTACTCCGTCTGAAACATCACGAATTATTAAGAAAAGTAATACTATTTTTTTATAATTTATTAACACTATATTCTGAAAATATAAAATTGAATTCTGTGTCATTTCTACTTCTATCTATACAAAAAAAGAAATAGTAATGAATACAATTTTCTTACCTCCAATCTAATAAATTTATTTTTTATTTTTACATGGCTGTTAAATATGTTAATATAATAATTATATTTATTGGTAATGATAAACACATATTTTGTTTGTTAGCAACGAAATATTATATTAATTAGATTACATTATGGTATTCACTTACTTTCCAAATTATATCTTAACTTTCAGGCTTACTTTAAAATACTTTTTTTTTAATTAGCGAACATTTACACTAAGCTAACGAAGTTTTTTTTGTTGGAAAAGAAAACTTACAGAAATGTTAATAAAATATTTATCAAAAGCTAGTTATTTTAAACAAAACTAACAGGCTATTCATCGAATTATAGCACACTTTTTTAATTTCGCCAAGAAAATGCGGATTAATAATATTTTGAAATTATATTATGAAAAAAGTAACATATCCCTTTCAGACCGAATTATGATCCAATGGAAAACAATTTTTGCTCACAGATTCAATTAAATACTATTCAAAATAAGGGACTTACAAACATTTTTACTTTTTTGTCAACTCAGTACTGAGATCCTGAGACATGCCATTGTAATGGCAAATTAGCGTTTAAAGTTGTCATTCGTTTTGTCATTAGGATGGCAATCGGGCAATATCGTATTGGGGTATAAAACAATAATAAACCAAGTTTTTTTCAGTTCCTTTTTTTTTAATAAATCTTAACTGTTTACTAAATAAAGTAGACATTATAATAAGTACAAAAACAACCTAATTTATCATATACGTATATGGGATTCTTTGGGTTTTTAACAAGTCTTTTAAGTTATATAATGTTTTGATTAAACCTTTAATAATTATAACAAACAAAATTAACAGTATAAGTATAAAAACAACATTATTTATCATATACATATGATATTAGATACATGACTCCAAATTGCCATTGTATTTTGACATACTATTGAAGGTACAATAAAATGATAACGGTAAATGATAATCACAATATTAGTTAAGACGCAAAAAAAAAATTAAATGGCACGGAGGGCTGAAAGGGATATTTATGTTACATTTTTTGTACTTAATTATGAATCCTACGATAACTTTATACCTTCATGTTTTATTATACTACATATTATAATATCATTTTATTTTTTATTTTTTATTTATATGCCGTTAATTTTTTTGAGTTGTGCTTATTTTTAATTAAGCTATACAAATTGTATTTAATCAAATGCTGATGGAAAAAACCCCAGTAACTGTCGTAACACCGCTTAACGCATGTTCCACTGTCATGGACTTTAATTTTATTTAACGGAGGGGAAGTTTTATATTTTGGGAAATTCGATATTATTAACGTAATATTACATTAAATTGATCCATAAACAGTTAATTATGATCGCTTAAAATAGCAATGCGTTTTTATTGAACGATAAAACGTTTAGCTTAATTGGCAATCGCCCAAAAATTATACGCTGTATAGATATTTATTAATGACCAACTATATGAATTTGTCAAATATATTTCACATTTGCACATTTGCAGTTGATATGTTAATAGTTAATCCATTATCTGTGAACAAAGGTCTGACCCCACTGAAACGGACGACACCGTTTTACTGTATGGTATAGGTACTTCTACACGGTCGCTGGCTAATTATAATTTGCACTGCAAACACGACAGGAATGCGGGATTTGCGCGCACCCGGTTAGAAATAACCATGTGAATTATTACTCAGAACCCCGGATTGTTATAGCCATGCAGATATCATAATTTCATTATTATGACGCATAAATACATGTATAATTATGCAATGTACATTGCAATATGCAGTACATGCATACAATATGCAGTGTTCGTTGGCCACTAACCGACAAAACTTGTCTTAGTGATTTTGCATAAGCTGGGTCATCAAATATTTCATCTAACTTGTTATCTGTATGTACATTAGCAAATAGTTAGCATATTCAGAATAAGAATATTTCTAGAATCAAAAGTGCACTTTCATATAATATTATCGCCAAGTGACAATAGCGCTGTTTGACATTTTAAATGAGAGTTTTCGCTGCTCAGCATTTGTGATGTTCATAATTTAGGTAGGTAAATAGAAAAAAATTGTCAATATTTTGTAAATAATTTCAGTTACGTTCCGATAGATGCGATGGAAATAAAAAAATTATACTTTTAAAACTTTGACTATATATATTTTTGTTCTGGCGTTATAATAGTGTAGCGCGCGTGGAACCCGGAAAAGCCTTTGTGTAATACTTTACCATCGGTTTATCAGCTTGACAGTATTTCACATGCAAAAATAAAATAATAATAATAATAAATAATAAAAAAAAAACGGGAAAAAAA